ATTGTAAAAAATAAGCTTCAAATGTTAAGAATAATTTAAGTGCTGCAAAATATATTTATAGCATAAATTAAAATATAAATGATAGAAGAGTGAATCAAAAGTATTCGATCATTTTACATTTATGCCTGCCCTAAAAATTAATTTATCAAAAATGTTATTTAAATTTTAAAAATGGATTGAAAAGAATGGTATTATAATGGATAATATAACGAATTAGCATAAACCACTCGTATTGTTGACCATTTGCAGTGACCGGAATAGTTGTAAAATGAAGTGCAAGGAAGTGAGTTAGGAAAAAGATTGACGAGAAGATGATATGGGTGTTAATCTCAGCTTCAGCATTCATATTTTGAATTTGATATAGTTTTGTGTTTGATGTGTGTTTGTTTTTGTTGAAGGAAGGGTCAAATGACCTGTAGCAATTTGTGGTTGACCTCAATAATAGCTTTCTATTGGAAGAAAAGAAAAGCAGAAAAAGTCATCATTTTAATCCAGTGATTTTCAGTAAATTCTTGTAAAAATAAATCCGTGCATAAAATTGCATAGAAAGATGACATCATTTGTTCATTTTGAAATAAAATTTAAAAATTTTTTAAAAGAAAATTTCAAATATTTGTTCAATTTTTGACCAATTTTTAATTTTACTTTCAAATTAAAAGGCTTAATATATTCTGCATGCATTAGTTGTTAAATTGGAAGTGAAATGAACATATTGCGTGCAACTTATTATTTAAATTTTTAGGAATTAATTGATTTAATTCACTTTAATGTTTAATATCTCAAATGTTGTTTATTGTGTAATTTTTTTTTGCAATTAATTTAAATGTATTTATTTCCAATTTTTAATAGCATATAATCTTTTGGCTTATTTAAAGACAAATTCAATTTCTTTTTTAAATATTACTAAATATGTCATTTATTGAAATTATGAATGTTTTTCTAGAAATATAAGTAAGATTAAATTTTTCATCGTCAGATTTTTTTTCCAATATGTTTTCACTAATTGAAATGAGCTTTTCATCTCTAGTTGGCTTAATTAATGAAATTTGCAATTAATTGTTGCTAGCAAAAAAACATCAATTCATGGAATTCCCTAATCAAGCATATTTCAAAATAAAAAATAAATAAATAAAAAAAAAAAATAAAACCCTACGAGAGAGAGAGAGAGAGTAAAATTTTCATCGATAGATAAGAGAAAGATGATGATGAAGAAGGGAACTTGTTTTCCCGCTCAATACACATCATTTATTCCGGGAAATGGAAAAATTTCTCATCATTTCGT